CAGAAGGAGGGGATCCACGCACAGAACGGGGACGTAAAGGCTGCGGCCCTCAGCAGCAGCTTCGGAAATGTGTCGCAGGGGAATAACACCGATGCCTGCACCATGCATGAGAACGGACTGCTGCCATCGCTGCTTCTTCTGTTGGGACTGTGGGGGTTTGCGGCTCTGTGAGGCGTGACTGGCTGCCGCGTGGGACACTTGCGGCCTCCCCTGCACGGAATTAATTCCAAGAACTAACTTTTTCCTTAATATAATTTTCTTTTCTTGCTTTCTTTTTGTAATTCATGATTTTTTTTGCGTGTTGCGCGTGTGTGTCCTTAAAATTTTTTTTCCGTTATTTATTTTCGTCTGTTTTTTTATTTTTCATTCCCCCATATCTTTTTTTTTTTTTTGCTTTTGGGGCAATCACTATGGACGTTTTTTTCTTTTCTACTCTTTTAATTGTTTGTTGCTGCACTCTTCCCGTGAGGGGTGCCGTGTGTTTTCCACCCAACTGCTCCACTCGCACACCACCGACACGCTCATGACGACGGCCCTGTGCGCCTCGCCTGCTGCACGCATGAGGAGGGGCCGCGACGAACGGCGCGCTGAGGGAGCCGTGACGTGTGGGCGTGCGACGAGGGCCTGTGGGGCGGAGCACACATTTCTTCCCTCTTGTTTTGTTTTCTTTGCTGCCAGGGCGGGCAGACACCCGCAGCGCCACACACACAGCCACACCCTGCCGCCGTGTTTTTTTTTCTTTTGCTGCGCTCACTCTCCCGATGGAGAGACGCGACTCCCGTCATGTCTGCGTGCTTTTCTCAGTCCCCACACACACGAGTGACTGTGCTCTGCGGGCCGCACTCACGCGCCGATGAGAGGGCTGAGGGGAGCAGCAACACGCAGATGACCCCATGAAATATAAACGGTGTGCGGACACACAGAGGGTCGGACGGTTGAAAGACATTTAAATATATTTTTAATTTTATTTTCGGACAAAATATGCAGACAGTTCGGTGTGGCCACACGGCAGCCAGCTGCTTTTTTAAATTTGTGTGGAACAGTAATGGACGATTTCTTTTTTTTATTTATAATTATTTTGTGTGATGGGGTTTGTGTAAGATGAAGGGGATGGTTTTCTTTTTGTTTTAAATAAATCTTGTGTGAATTGCCACTGCTTGGACGGCAGTGCAGTCATGAGTTTGAGCGGTCTTCTTCTTGTTGCTTCCGCCACGCACCTCCGCTGTACATTTTTGTGCGCCTCTCCACATACTCTGCTTCCTCTTTTCCACTTCTTTGCTTTGTGTGTCTGCAGGCACACACAACCACATGCACGCACAAAATGCACATTTCATTCGATTTGGATGCTTCTTTTGTGGCGTGTGCTGGCGGTTGCGGGTGGCAGCTGCTTCCTCCGTGGGCATGAAGAGAAGGAGGAGAGAGGGAGCGCGCACCACGAGTCACTCTTCCTACGGGTGTGATGCGTGCGGTGGGCTGTGACTGCTGTGGAGGGCCTCATCCTTTCGGTGTGCGCTTCTCCGCCGTCGTGCCGTGTGTTTGCGCCATGTTATTTGTTAAGCGGAGTGCGTGCTGGA